GGAGGGAGGGAGAGATGAAAAAGAAACAGAGTGAGGCAACAAAAAGGAAAAGAGGAAATGTTCAAGGCCAAGAACAACACAGCAGAGAAAAATGGGAAAAGAAAGCATTAAACTACACAATCAAAATGTGCTGATTTGTAAAGACTATCCTGGATAAAGGTAGCAAAAATAGATCGTTATCTGTCTGCAAGTAGCTTGGAGCTATAAAGATGCTGTGTACCTGAAAGAGGCTGACAAGTGAGATCCACAGGAAACAAGATTTGTCAGTGCTGTAGAGAGCGTGCTCCTAACACTTCCTATGCCAGGAAGTTCTGCTGAAGAGTCAGTGAGGGCTCGGCTAGTGCAGTCGAGGAGCCACAATATCATTCTCGCACTCAAACGGATCGTATGTCAACATAAAAGTCCTGCACTTCCTCTTACGGGATAGTTTTAAGACAAGAGGCTTTTTTCCCCTCCCAGATAATACAGTAAAACAAACAGCTATTTCTGAACACAAACCCCACATACAGTACAGTGGAAATAATAGTATGTTATAGACTCTGAAAATCTACAACCACAGGACAGACAAATGGTGGAAATATTGAGTTAGCAACATTGTTTGCATCATTGACAATATTAAAGAAATCTTCATACTCCTCAGCTTTTTTTAAGCTATTAATTAAGCTTTTAAGTGGATATTATTTAAATAGTTAGTTAGAGTTAGTTTATACAGTTTCAATTAAACTTATTAGTTGATAATATCATGTCAGTGAGTTTCTGCTGTTTCTTTGATGTGAATTCAAGGAAACAGAACTAATCTGCTCCTGCAATTTTTTGTATTGTCATCTGTGTCCTCGCTGAACCTCAGCTTGACAGCACTGTGCTCCTCCTACTCTACAGATCTCTGTTGTCTCCTCACCTCTTTCTTCCATACTCTGCCACATTATTTTCATGCACATTCAAAGACCACAATTGGTATTTTATGACTTTTCTAACAATGAACTCACATACTACTTAATAAGGAACACGTTTTGTTATTTTATCATGTTTTGGTGATGTTTTAAGACCTGATTGATGATTTTTCCCTTACCATGTAACATGCTACACTATGGAAAACAGCAGTAGCTGCATTAGTAGTAGTATTAGAGTGATTACACTGAGGATTGATATTGAGGGTAAAAATCTTTTTCTAGAATGGAAGTGGTCATTGAATTGGCTCATTTTTTTATATGTGGTTACTTACTGCAGACAGGAAGCCAGAGGAAGAGTACCAACAGTGCAGAGTTTAACAATGCATTTAGAGATTACAGTCCGCCATTATGGTTGAATTAGAAGGACCAAAGAACAAGCAAGCATTTTAACAACTGCACCAGTAAAAAGGTACAAGTAACACACAGACACAACAACAGGGTGAC